CCCCGCAGTCACACGTGCGCGGCGTTGGTTTTAGGCCACCAGGTCCAGGACACGAACCACGGTCGACTATGTGGGAGTCCAGCAACATAGCCATTATGCTAACTGCTGGTTCCCTCCTCATGCCTTGCTGACGTCCTGAGCACGGTCAGCAGAAATAACTGCGTAAGTCCGACGTGTGGAGTAGCTATGAGGTAGCACTAGGGGTCGGGGACAGGAGAATGGCAAAGCTGAGGTCGGCTGGGGCCGGACTGAGCGTGCTCTGCAGGCTGTGCTAGGACTTCCAGCTGGACACACAGGAAGCCACTGCGGGCCCTGGGACCAAGCACGTCACGCTCTGACTCGCTCTTCCAGGAGCAAGAGGCAGAGACAGAGCACCCCCAAGAGGATCCCAAAGCTGAGACCCAGCCCCAGCCACAGCCAGCCCCGGCCACAGCCAGCCCCGGCCACAGCCAGCCCCGGCTTGTGGCACACGGGTGCCCAGTGTACGTGGGGAAGCGGCCAGATACAAACCAAAGCCTTCGGACTCCCAGAGATTGCATTTTGCCAAAACACCTCTGTTCGGCCCCATCACATCATAAAGGTTCCAGAGGCTAAGCCAGGACTCCCCCAACCCTGGCCTGGTTATGAGCTCTGCAGGTGATCCCAGGGGCAGGAGGGCTCCGTGGGCACTGGACCCCATAACGGCAGAGGCAGGATGAGGAAGGGCTGGGGGCTGGGGCAGCTGCCAGCCCAGGACTCCTCTGCCAGGGCGGATCTGGGATCTCTGCCTCTCTGACAGGCATGTTCAGACAGAACGGAACAGCTGTCCCGCTGCTCATGACACACCGCTGTGCGCCTGGGGCCCTGCCAGTCCCCTTGCCAGTCTGCTGAGTCTCACTCACCCTTTCATTTCCCTGCTGCAACACACCCTGAGGATATGACACAGTCCCTTAGTAACAGTGGCTTCCTAAAACACACCCAGAGGCTGGGCTGGGCCGGCCCTCAGGGCCAGAGGGTCCAGCTGGGCTGGAGGCTGCTCCTCCCTGGGCAGCAACAAAGACCTATTATTAACCAGGGACAAAGGTCTTTGAATACAGAGCAGCAGGGACCTACTGAATATTCAGCAACCAGGGGTCAGGGACCAGGGTCACCCAGGACAGACACTGCCTTCTCCGGTCCCATTTTTCTCTGCTGGGGAGGGTATAGCATGGATCCCAACAGGCGACGGTGGGGACAGTTCTGAACAGCATAAATGGGACTAAGCCATACAGAGCACCTCGCTCGCCAGGCTGTTGGCGGTACCTGGTATGAATCCTCACTCCCAACACTCGGAACCACGCTTCCAATAGAAACACCCTATCATACAGGTGAAGAAACAGGGTCGGGCCTTAGGTGGCTGGCTCACTCACACTGTGGAGGTTGGGACTGGGGACAGATGACAGGTTTATTGGCCCCCAAAGCTGCAGGCTACAGCATGACAAGAGTCAGTAAGGCCATGACCTTGGAAGTGCTTTGTAAATGCTATCAATAAAATGCCACACCAAAGCAACCAGGCAATCATCTGATTGTTCTCCCATGCACTCCACAGGAAAGGTCCTAGTTACATTTCATAAAGGCAGTCCGCACCGGAAAACGCTGGGGCAG